AATAGCCGATCATTCCGATCGGTATGAGGCTTTTTGATTATGAAAAATGAAATGATTAGCAACTGGAGAATTTTGCAATGCAAACATATTTATATTAAATAATCTTTTTCGTCAAATAATAGCGTTCTTCGGTTTTTTTATTTATCATTTTGTAGTACACAGTGGGTTATTATGGTTTGTTATTGTTGTACATGTATCCGTAAGCTGTAAATCTATTTATAGAGGTATGTACTATTCGCCGGTCTCCTATCGGTAATTCCCGGTCTCTCCCGGTCTATTTTGACCGGGATGCCAGCACTATTAAGTGTTGAGAATTGAGTACCGCTCAAGCCTGTGCTAGGAGGCGTGAGAGATATTGCACGTATTCATTATCCCTCATGTACTCAATCAAACCGAGTCTGCAATTCTCTTGTAATTTTGTTGTGATTAATGCTTCCGAGGGATAGCTTTGTTTCCGGATTTTTGTGCTTCACGACGGCGGGTGTCAAGTGCTGTGTGGCAGCTGTAAAAAGTTGCCCCGTACTTTACTTAAGTGTTGTTATATTTTTCTGGTCCTTCGGGATCATTGATGCCAGCACTATTAAGTGTGGAGAATTGAGTACCGCTCGAACCGGTGCTAGGGAGCGTGAGGGATGTTGCACGTATTCAATAACCCTCATGTACAGACTCAATCAAACCATGTCTGCAATTCTCTTGTAATTTTGTTGTGATTAATTCTTCCGAGGGATCGCTTTGTTTCCGGATTTTTTTTAACTAGAGACCGGCGAATAGTACCACGCGTTTATTGTCCGGTCTCTCCCGGTTTTGGAGTAGATGTTTGATATCGTTACAAATGAATGTTAGTCACTTAGTTTGGTTACAATAATTAATAAACACAGATCAACTCTCAAAATTGATTATTATTATACATAAACATACAATTCGAAAAAAACAACCCATCGACAACAATAGCATGTTTCATTTTATTTATATGAGATAAAAACAATAAATATGTACAGCGGTACATTTTTATGGTACGTATATGACACCATCAACTTTGAAACATTTTATTTAATTTGTTATTCGTGTTTAGTAAAAATGCTGAGGAATTATTCTAAGTTACAAATAAATTTTTATGAATTACTCAATTGATTGATAATTTAAAAAATGATAAAGAAAAATACAAATGTACATGTACATGGTTTAAGAATAAACAATATAACATATTGAAAGATTAACCGTAATTTACTGACCTTTTCCAGTTAATTTTTGACTTATAATCGTCAGTCAATATGACAATTGAATTCTTAAAATTAATTTTACAATTTTTCTAAAAAAAAGTAGTAAACGTAAAAACTCAGTATTAAAATAACACATAAAACACAAAAAAAAGAAAGAAAAAGAAAACAATATTCATAAAATATGTAAAAAAATAAATAGAATAAATATTACAAGTATTGTATTATAAAATAATTATGCTCAACATGGTAATATAACCACTGTCATATTGTTACTAAGTGTGAACAGATACCTTATGAGGGAGTTTTCGCTAATAGCGATAACATAATAAGGGAAATACACAAGTGTGGTGTTGAACATGCCTTACACAAATAGATTATAAATGATTGTATATATCCGTTGCTATTAATAATCACGATATAACATTTATGACCATAAAAAATAACAATTATAATATAATATTATATATGTATTTTATTATTTCAAAAATGTAAAAGAACTATTGATTTTGACTACTATTTTGTATGTTCCAAAGAAAATACCACATGAACTTGAAATTCTATCAAATCACCAATATTAATGATAATATCCAAAAATACCCCCTATATAGTATAAATAAACTTATACCATATGGGGAGTATATTTTGAATATCATTGACCTATATATTTTGGATATTATCGTTAATATTGATAAAATTTCAAGTTCCTGTGGAAAAAAACAAGTAATATTCTAATCTCTAGCATGCCTACTAAAGTTCATAATGAACAATGTCTTTCGTCCGCTCATTCATAAGTGATATACAATTCTGGTAAAAACCAATTAACCATTGAAAAGTTTATAAGAATATCTTGTCATCATATATATGTCTACTAGTTCATCTTCACTTGCTGCATTTCTTGTTTGGACGCCCTTTGATGCTTTGCATCAATGCTTTTCTTGTCTCTATTGAAACCACAGACATAATTAATACACACACAACATCACATTACTGTGTACCATCCTTGAGACTTAAAGAAATCTTCAAGTGAATGCATCCTCTAAAATATAATAATAATAATAATAAAAAAAAAAATAATAATAATAATAATAATAATAATAATAATAATTAAATCTTTATTAAATTTTAAAGAAGTTAACATAAACAACTGTTCAAGGCTAAATGTTTATATACAGATTTTTAACATATGCTGCTCAAAATATGATAAACAAGATCAAAACAAGATCAAAATAGAAAGGCTGCAAAACTTAATTTAGATAAACCAACATCAGGCGACGCATCAGAATATATTAAGCTACTTATGCGATTTGTTTCGAGTTATTATTCATCAAAATAATAATAATAATAATAATGAAATAAAAAAATGTCGAAAACAGACATAAACTGGCCTTATTTCACTTTTCAGAAAAGCAAATTAACAATTGGCGCCTTTTGTCTGCATATACAAAGAAGTAAATAGGAAAAACTGGGAAAGACCAACATACGAAGTAGAGACAAAAAAAGGAGTCATTAAATAGATAAATGCTTTTTACAAAATCTCAAGTCAAAAAGGTGTTCTATCAGGACTGCAATAGAAAAAAGTAGAATTAAGTGACTGATACAGATATCTTATTGGCTTCTTATTTTTCAGCAAGCACCGTGAACTTGCAAAAAGTGAAACCGATTTTCAAACTCCAGTATCGATATTTCCAACAAGAAGCCTTTTACAACAATGACAGTTCTCGTATTTAGTACTGTTCTTATTTTTAAGATAAAAGTAATGAGTTGGTTAAAGACTACACGTATTTGATCAGATGGTTTATTATCACGTTATTGATTTCTCTATATTGTTTATCGTATGTTTTGAATAAACAAATGTCTGAAATCTGTGCTTCATTATAATATCAGCCGGAAATGATTTGTAAATTGAACTAAAATTTTGTTTTTTATAACACAATAGACAGTGAATTTGTTTTCGACAAACAGCTGGTATGTCTATGGCAACTTGTTTTCGATAAACAGCTGGTGTGTCAAGGCGACCTTGTGTTCGACAAACAACTGGATATGTCTCTATAAATATGCAACCATTTGCCTTGTACTCCATCATTGTGATTTGCTTCATTACGAGGTAAGTTTTGTATTTTATTTTTCTATAAAATTATTTTTTTTTTATATAAATTTTCTTGTTCTTAGCTCGACTGACCATGCGACCAGTACAGAACAAGATCATCCTGCACGCTTGTCGTCAGATCATCTGGTCTGTTTTGCTCGCTATTCAGTCAATGTTTATCAACCGTTCAAGATATTTAGCGTGAAAAATGTTAATGTTATGATTCCTACTACTTTTAAAATAATTTTTAAAAATCAAGTTCATTGATAACGTTTACACGTGACCATTTAAATATTTAGATAACAAAATAGTGTTCTTTTAAATAATCTCTAAAACGATAAAATAATAACAACATGCTTTTCTCTATAGCTCAAAGCTAAACATAAAAGTATCCAAGCTTAAGACCGATGGTTTATCAAATAATAAGTAAAACAAATGTAATGAGAACATTATTTATCATGACAGAAAAATAAAATGAAAATACATGTATGTTTCTAGTCAGATCTCACGTGACATTGTACCAACTTGAATTAATTTTTGTATTTGTTGTTTATTGTTATATTCCTTTTTATTATTTTCGAGACAGTAATCCGGGATATGTTTCTTTATCTATTTGCAAAACACAATCACGATAAAATAATGTATAGAGGATATTTGTTTGTGTGTAAGATGAAATTTTATTTCATCGAGTGAGCTTTAAAAACAGTATATTCACGAGTGGTGTAGCCACGAGTGAGAATACTGTTTTTAAAGTTCACGAGATGAAATAAAATTACATCTTACACAACAAACAAATTTTCTTTTTATTTTATGCTTAAAAACAAGTTGAAACGAAATTTCCATGATACCACGGATTTGTAATATAAGTCCGTGATGATACTAACTTTAATATTAATATCTGTTTTCCCCACAGGTAGCCTCTATTAGTCAAATTTCTCACAAAATACAAGAAGTCTTGGTCTGAAAATCAACATTAAATGGCAATGATATTATTCATTTTATTCAAATAATATGAATGATCGCTTGTTTAAATAATAAAAACAAACAATTCTAGTAGGAGAAAAAGTCCAACAATCCATCCATATTTCTTTTACTTACGGCGAGTTTATATTAGTATTATGCAGTATTGCATTTTATATTTGTGTTGTACAGTGTGGTTACACTACAGGTAAATGCTAACTTTTTGTGTAACTTGAAAAACATAATGTCAATATTAATTTATATATATATAATTATGATGTTTAATAGTTTAAGATAAGTCTAGTTAGCGAAATTCTGTCATGTGTTTTGTTTTTCTTCAAGTTCATTGTTGTTACTATAATACAAATCAAGTTTTAGTTTCTTTAATGTCTTTATTTGATCTTTGATCTCATTATTATTGTGATTTGCATGTCATTTAACATGACCCTTGATTGGAAATAAAAGTTATTCTATTCTATTCTATTCGACCTGGCTCTGTGAAATGTAAGCGGCAGCCAATTTTAAAAGTTGTGTATTTCACGAGTGGAAAATAATTGTGATTGCATTTGGATTTGTTAGTCATACATCTTTTAAGAAGAAAGAAAACTTATTTGAGGATTGTTAAAGATAATAGATAAGTGTTGACAGATGTGTAAACATTCAAAAAGCGGCTAGGAAATTGGAAAACATGGAAGTTTTGAAAGGCTGCCTTGCGGAGTTACGAAGGCTGGGTTGTTTACTTATTCTTCGGGCTGATGTCTGTCATTGTTTTTCAAGTTATTAGGCAGTTATTGCTCGTAGGATACTTAAATATGCCCAAATGTCATCAAGAGCAGTTTTGCATGTGGAAGGAATTGTATTTTTCAGACTGTAAAAAATGAAACAAAAATTTAGAGACGATATTTGGTGATTGGTAATTTGAATGAATTGAAGTAAGATTTCTTCTTTTTATTACTTTTGAAATTTCAGTTATTTATCAATTTCAGCTTTACTTTTCTCTAAACAGCCCTGACAATGTCAGAATTGTCAACAATAATAAAACTGAGGTACCGCATGGGGAAAATCTTAAAAAAGTAGTCTCATCATTGAAAAGTGTGAAATTATATTTTGATAATTTTCACTGTGAAATTATCAAATATAATTTTCACGGATAAATCAGTAATCCACTAAAAAGCATAAAATAAAACGTTATATTTTCATTTTGGAGTCTTGTATCCCATTTATATTCTACAATAAAAAGGAACGCCGGAATATTCGTTGTTTTACTGCTCTCTGCAAATTTTATTGTAATTTAGAATACAAATGTATGATAGTCAAATGCAAAACAACAACAACAAATAACCTATCAGTCTTAATTCCTTTCAGGGCCTTTATCTTTTGGCGATTTAATTACTGTAGAGACTAAAGAACAATGGGAAAGTTTATGATTACATTCATGGTAAGAAAATTTAGATACTTTATGTTTCCTACTTATTTTACTTTACTTTTATCTAAATTATATTTTATTTCTTTCGTTTCCTGAAAATACGAAAATACGTATTTTTAAATTATACAGGTTTAAGTTCGTGGAATCTCTAAAGGTTACTTAAACGTGGATACATGATTATTTTCCAGCTGGTTGTATTGCTAATTGTGTTTATGAAAGCATCCGAATCGAAGCCGACGTTAAAACAAAACATATTAAAAAGTTCAAAAGCAAGAGGTTTAGCCCTAGGGATTGGAAACGGAAACGGCATATGTAATGACCACGATCAGGTAAATTAATTTGAATCACATGATAATGTTTCCGCCTTAATTACATTGCCGTTTTGGCTTCCAACAAAAGTATGAAAATAAAAACATTGCTTATATTTCATTTGTTATGTTTGGACTACATGTATATCAAATTTATATTAATTTGGGGTGAATGCACAGATTGTAATATGTACTAAGCAACCTCCTTTAAAATGTTCCCCCGATGTTTCAAGAAGATAACTCTGCAATTATACTATTTTAGATGCACCTGATAAATGCCTTAAATCAACGCTTACTTTGCCATTTTGTTTGCAAATGACACTAAAACAATTAAACAACGTTTTATATATTTATTCTTTCAAATATTGAATTATTTTAAAATTCTTATGTATACATTTATATACTCTAGTGCCCAGATGGCTATGCATGCTTATTGGCAGAGGGAAAAACAGTGAAGAAATGCGTTCAGTGTGAGTAAAGATGTTACATACTTAAATATACATTAAAAGCATTAGCATTGCATTACAGCTTTATTACAATTATGTCAGTTTCTTGTGCATAATTGTGCAATATCATTTTTTTTCTTGCACATATTGTGTTAATTATAAATTACTATAGAATCGTTCAATATCTCCTCTATCACTCCGCATTATTTCTATTATTGTACCGAAAAATAGCTTATTACTGAAATATGGAATACTTAAACAGTCAAAAGAACATTTTTGTTCCAGTGAACTTCCCGCTTAAGGATTACGGACCTAAATGGTCACCAAAAGGAATCAGCGTACCAATACTTTTTTCTTCTCTGTATACATGTAGTGTAAGACAATCAATATTCAAATATAAGCAAATTTAACCATAACCACCCATTTTTATTTTGTATTCATCCTTTTTAATGCCACGACATAGGACAATAACAATGGTCAAATGAAAGTATTGTAGAATTGTTGTCAAAGTGTTTTGCATGTACATGCCCGAGAGCCCAATCAACCTTAATTTTTTTTCATTACCACCCTATTTATTAAAAAAATGAATAATTATTATTTTAGGTAACTGTTCGGAGACAAGCCAATGTTATCTTGAAAGTGAAACGACGTTCTGCAATTGCTCAGGAACTGGGTTCACAGGACAATATTGTGAAACATGTGAATGATGTGATATAATTTGCTTAGAATTTAAATTTCTTTTAAAAGAAAAAAACTTCAGCCATTTAATTTGCTTTAGCCTTTGTTTTTCCCATAACAACATTCGTATGTATTGATTGTATATTTTACTAATATGCTAACTTACTGTTCAGATATTATTCATTTTTCAACCGAGAAATATCTTTAAAATGACTTACAAATAATTGTGCTACATCTTCCTACATTTTAGTGCTACCGCCATGTCCAATGGGATGGTATCAAAACAGAAACAGCTGTTACATCTATGACTGCACGGCGTATGATTGGATGGCCGCTGTTGTAACACGACAATTTTTTAAAAATATTCTTAAATTAAATATACCGCTAATACCTCGATGAAATTTATAAAATTTTCATAAAATAAAGTTCTGTTAAGAACAAACAAGGTTTTGGCTTTTTGCCGATTAAATTTTTAAACATTAATAACAGTATTTTAACAAAACGTTGAGAATCCATCATCTGAAAATCATAAGAGTAATTTGAAGTCGCCATATACTCTGCTTTATCAAGAAAACGAATAATGCTTCTTACTGTCGCTGTTTCGATAGTACACATAGTACACACATATTACTTTTTTCGAAAATAGAGATAAATAAATCATCATAATTTCCACCATTTATTTTTTATTTCTAGTGTTATTCGAATAATATTTTTATTATCTCAACAGTGGCACTGCCAGTCCCTTAGTCCGAACGAATATCCGAACTCTTATCTTGTTGAGATCACAGATGAAGAGGAAAACCAAGTTGCATTTGCCATTTCAGGCATTACAGGTTATTCAGGTAATTCTAACCATCTTGTATACTTGCAGTTTTATATATAAATTTATATCTTTTCTCTATTCAGATTTACAAAACGTTTGATAAATTTTAATATCACAATTATAAAACGGAACAACCAACAAAATAGACCTAGAGCGGGGTTAATATATAAAATTATAAACGTAATGTCATGACTCCACTGACCAGCACTGCTAGTTACAGCGAAAACTGAAGGTCTAGCTTAAAGTCAATATGCATCGAAAACATTTTACTACTGTTCGAATATATGTTTAAATGCATGTTGCTTCTATAAGAAACAATTTTCTGTAGCTTTATCCATTTATGTACACGTGACCCTTAACCTTTGCATAATGGATTTGCACATCTTTGTATTTGTGACAGTCTATTCAAAGTTTAAGGGAATTTAGTTTCAAATACAAAGCAAAAGTGACCTGCTGAGAGTACAGAACCTGACAGACTAAATAGATGTGCACTATTTATTAATACTTGTTGCAAAACTAGCGAGAAGCTAATAACCTTTAGATATACAGCCAGTTAAGGAAAAGTTATGTTCCTCATATTGATTAATAAATGACGTAGGGGTTTAACAACTTACACAATGTATCAATATACATGTACCGGTAAACAAGCTTTATAACAGCACTTAATCTTCATTCATTTAATTTCATTTCCAAGCATTTTCTATTTGTTATACTAATAAAAAGGCTATGAATAATCAAAATTTGTTTTTGTTTAATTTGACAGACGCTTGGATTGGTTTATCAGATACGGAGTCAGAAGGCATTTTTAAATGGATAAATTCCGGGAACATCGTAACATATAAACCTTTCGACTATATATACGATGCGTATTACCCTTACATTTACCCCGTGGAAGTGATGGACTGTGTTCATCTACATTATGATCACTGGGATGCAGAGATATGTGGAAAGTTCAAGCCTGTAGTGTGCGAGATGCCAGCATTAATACAGGTAAGTTTATACATGAATATACATGTATATAAATTAATCCCCGATTTGAATGGCACACTTGGCATTATCACCATGATTAACAAATAAAGAAACCCCTACACTGGCCCATATACATATAAAGTACGAATATTATATAGATGTATAATTATACATGTAAGTATTGCAAAATGAGAGCTATAGAAATAATGCAGAGTTTCATTTAATAATATGAAATGTACTTATCAACCGAACATTTACAAAACCTGATCTCTATAGATAAAGACATGTTGTTCTATCCTGAAAGAGTGTTGTATGCTGTCAATAATTCAAAATATATTAGAAATTGTTAAGATATCGCATGTTATAAGCATACATATAATGCAAGTGATTGTTGTTGAAACTAAAATAGCGATAAATATATAAAAAGAATTGCTACTGTTCTATTGCAGTAAAATGGAGAGAAGATGGGACGAAGTCTATGGACATTTTGTTTTATTTAGGTCGTTATAATGAGTACTGTTAACTGGTTAATCAATGAATAATAATATTGTTGATTAGTGGGATTTTGTTTTCTTTGTTCTTTCAAGGTGTAGCTTAAACTGTTCAGTTAATGAGAGACAATATTGCTTGTCAATGAATGATTGTTACATTTGATGTACATAATTATGTATTTTGTTCTTGAATTCGTTATTATACATTTTCTTTATACTTTAAATTGTTTAGTCAATGAATAATGATATTATGTTTACGACAATGTTAGTGTAAATAGAGGTAGTTATATATTTGTTTTGTCATCTTATATCATGTGGGTTATGATAATAAAATTGATGGGACAACAAATTGCGTTGGTTTTATTTGCCGGAAAAATAGTTTGTGTATTGATGTGTTATTTCTTAGCATCACAAAAAATGATGAATATTAAAACTAATGTATGCTTTTATTTGGTTGCGGACAAAAACATGTACTCATATTGCTAAAAGTGACTTTAAAATATAATTAAATGTTCATTATACATGTATGTTTGCTTGATATACAAAATCAGGTGTCAAGTGCCGAGTGGCAGCTGTAAAAAGTTGTCCCGTACTCCACTTCAGTGTTATTATATATTTCTGAACCTTCGGGATCATTTATGCCAGCAATATTAAGTGTTGAGAATTGAGTACCGCTCAAGTCGGTGCTAGGGGGCATGAGGGATGTTGCACTTATTCATTATCCCTCATGTACACACTCAATCAAACCGAGTCTGCAATTTCCATGTAATTTTGTTGTGATTAATGCATTCGGGGGATCACTGTGTCTCCAGATTTTGATGGTATGTAAAGTGAATCGTCAATAAAGATTGTACATGTATATGTTTCAAATTCTTAGCTCGTTCCACATGTAATTTTTCTCGAGAACCTGACACTATAATAATATGTTCAAATTATGGGCATTACAATGCCAATCTCATAGTTTAGCAAAATAAAATCTAACAACAACTGAGGAACAAGAACATGTAATGTGGTATGTCATAACTGAAGCATTGATAATATTTCTGCATAAATAGATCCTTCAGAAAATAACCAACGAAGGTTGGACTAGGTTTACCACAGTCAGTCGAGCATCTCTCTTAAATTTTATATACTTCTTGTTCCATAGTTTATATCACATTTGGTATTTTCCAAAAAACAAAAACAGCCTTGACTTATCAGTAAGTATACTTGCAAGCATTTTCTCTTTTGAATCAGCCTACATTGATAATTTTCCACAAAGATTGGAATCTATGGCGAAGCCAATATCTTCTGCTTACTGTTCGGACAAATGTTTGTTAAAGGAACTCTATTGAGGTCTTAAAGCCTAAAAACATAAATTTGAAAGTCTTCCATAGATAAAGTGATGCACTTATAATTGTAAAATATACAAAGTCCAGTTAAGAAATATACTCAGAATTATTTTGAAATAGACTTTGTGAACGATTTTAGGCCCGTCTTAGTGAAAAGAGTTATAACGCTTTTCATTTTTTCTTTAGTCATTTTGCCATATAAAAATATTATTCTAAATTAGGGTTTGTAACGACGCTAACTATTGTTTAACGCTTGTGTAAATAGTCATGGCGCTTACTATAAGCATGTATATCTATAAAGAATAAAACAATATTAGAAATCTTCGACCACTCGGGAATTATTTTGCTTGAAAATTAATGCGCCTGTCATGTGACCATATTTACGCAGTGATCTCCCCTGAATATTTCGGCCTTTGTGTTACATATAAAGGGAAGTAACCGCTTCAAAAAAGCGGACTACTTTCGGCAATTGCAATTAACAGCATTAATTAGAGTCTGAAATTTCGCTACCATTATTTGTTTGGTCTGACGACCCAAACAAATAAAAACGAAGAGGAGGAATGATCTGAAAATTTGCACACAAGTTATTAGTCCAAATCTACATCAAATGGTGCAAAAAATATCTCCCTTTATGTCAAATAGTCTTAATGGAGTCCCTTTAGGAAACAGAACCAAAATTAACAAATCATAGCAATTCTAAAACTATTTTGAATTAAGTAAATTGAATGAATGAAGTTAAAATAGTGACAATATATGTCATATAGCCACTGAAATTACAATAGTGTATGGAGAGCATTATCCGCAAGCCTTTATCGGATATCCGCCATCATTTCAACAAAGATTATGAACTTGAGGATGGGGGATAGGGTTAGTGGTACTGTTGATCTATACAGTGTAACCAACAAAGGGCGGAGTTGAGATTTGTCCAGAGATAGCAGCTGGGACCTCATTGATATAATATGAAGGCAGATTGTTGGTCTTAGATACGAACAACATAATTTACGAGGACCTCAATGGAATGTTTATCATCTAACACAAAAGACTACACGAGGAGGGAGCGTATGCTTGCAAGATGATTAACCTTGTAACGAAAGAATTGAAAAAAGTCCAAAGTGTAGTTATGAGATATGTCTTTATTTGATATTGATATATGCAAGTTGGATTTATAATTTATGTTCCTCACAGAAGCAATATAAGAGACCAAAAGAGACATTGTGTTTTTTGAAGCCACAATTATGTTCAAGAGTTTTGAAAAAAAAATGTTAATGAGATATGCCGATAATTAGAACAGTCATTCATGTTGAAAAATTAGAGGACTGGGCCTGTACTAGAAACTTGAATGGAAACTTGTTTTAATCAATAGCTGAACAATTAAGCAGATTTTGAGTTACCTTTGATTTGAGGCTGACTCTGGCTATCTATGCAGTCGGGAAAGTTGCAAATAAATGCATAACGTTACTAATTGATTCGAGTACTACATTTAGTTAGTTGAACTAAATTTTTCGAGAAAAAAAACAACATGCGTTTGGTGGCATTGATTGAACAATAACAACAATTTTTAAATGTGTTCGTCTGCAGAATAGGCAAACCATATTGATCAATATGGCTAGGATATTTCAATTGAATTTGCGAAACACCTGACGTAGGTATATAAGGGTATATATATTTCATTTTTATATATCTTTATTCATTCTTTTTATGTAATGAATTGTTTTTAACACTTGCATTGGATATTTTATGTAAAATATCTGGATACCGTCCAGTGTACAAAATACCGGGCACTTGTTTTTAGCTATGCATTAATTTTCCCGCCATTGCAGAGTCATAGGCTGCGGAGCTTGAGGATAGACATGCAACTCTTTTTAAGAAGGTAAGTGTTTGAAAAAAGGATTATACTTTCAATTTTCTGTTATATCTAGTGTATTGAACTTCATGTAGCTCTTCAGAAGTCAAAAGTCAAAATATATTGATGTGCTAAAGGTACATAATTTTTGTAGAGGCGAGATTATACGGAGATATTGCCCATGTAAAGTAGCACAATATCTCAAATGGTGGTACAATTATTGCATGTTGCCATTATTTTGTTGATTTCCCATATATAATAATTTGATGATTTCCAATATAGATATCTGGATCTATTAGAATCGAAAATCGGAAATTATCTGTACAATGTACATAATTAACTGCACTGTGTATTGAAAAAAAAACAATTGTTGATAACTTTTTTTCAATATAGACACTACTGTAGTAATTCTTTAACTCTTGTTTGCCTGTTAAACATTAGTGTCACATTTATCTCCCTTGATTCATTAAATAAAATCTGTCTTATCACACTAACCATTTCAGATGTCCAGGAATTTAAGAAGAAAAAGTTGTAAAGCCAATACAAGAGGGTCTGCTTCTTATCTTTGACCCCAAAAAAAGATGGTTGGAAGGTAGAAATTTCTTTTATACATTGTATTTTATATAATTTGTATAATAAACATTTAAAAGTGCAGGAATTTTTTACCTCTGGTAGCCACTTTAAAAATGATATAACTGGGAAACAAATTAAATTAGTATAAAAAAACTTGCACCAGGTAGGTACTTTACATTAATGCAAATGTTTCAGAAAAAAGTCAAATGTAACTTTCCCTCAAATTTTCTACTAATTTAGTTTTTGTCCAAAAGTGATCTAATAAATCAAATGATGGGCTATCATAGAGTAATTAGCACTGACAGTTTGTAGGCTGTTTCTGATATCTTCCTCATAAGTAAATTCCAGAGACCCCACCCCACCCCCGGCAGGATTCCAAGCTCACATCAGTTTGGGTTACTATGATTTTGTAAAAAAATATTCACATGTATACATACATGGTACTTGAAAATTATCACATTTTAAACAGAGTGAATACCAAACTATAAATTTAATTCTACTATTAAAGCTGCTTTTGAATGTTTTATCTTACATGTAGATCAGTAGCTTTTAAGCAAATTGTTTGGACTGCAGTACTGATCAATTCTATATAAAATAAAATCAAACTGAATAATATTAAAATTTTGAAAATAACAAAAAGAAATTTTGAAAATTTTAATTAGAAAACATTTTTTATTCATCAAATCACATAATATCAGTCAGAAAATTGTTGGTATTTCCTGAATTACAGATGTTTTTAAGGAGGTCCTAAAGATTTATGTTTCTTTTATTTCATTGTTTTATGATTATAGATAATATAATCATAGGCGGATACAAAGTGAGGAATGGAAAATAGGGGGTTATGACTCCCTCCCCCCATCAGGGAAATTTCCTATTTTGTTTTAGAAAACACATAAAGTACATGTATAATGCATGTATAATAATTAACATAAATTTTGGATATAATTTAACATACAATTCTGGTTCATGAACCCCGCGTCAAAACTAGTAAAGTCCCGCTGGAATATACATGATTTCTGATTCAGAGCTCCAGATAGCGTGCGTATCAGTGTAAAATACGCATAGAAAATCTAATATACGCATCACTTTCAAAATCCATGCGTCAAAGTTACGCACAACAAAATGAAAATACACTTGTATGTCAAAATTTAAGCGTGAAAGAATAGAAGTGTAAACATTTGATATTTAGAAAGAGGATGTTTTTAGCATAAAAATCAATATATTTCCATTTCATTGCTTTGAAAACTAAAAATTCTGTTGTCAACAACGCATGTTAAAAACGAAAGTAACAGGAAGTACAGAAGGGAGATAACTCTCGTAGATCAACCTGTGAAATTAGCCAGCTAATCATCATAGGATTTAACATAGTATTGTTTGTTTAGGCATCTATTGACATGCTAATATGCCTCAATATAATAACAAAAATATATATTTTAATTTCTTTCACTTTTGTTGTTGGAACAAAAAAGACATGTTTTTCACCTGCAGTTTTGTACTCAATATTTTCGTACCCAGTATACAGTTACGGACAATTTTCTCTCAGACCAATGCCTTTTTAAGGAAAGATAAAAAAATCTTGTTTATTTTTCTTTAATTCTAATTTTAACTATAATTGTTCAAACTGGAGTACATGATAAGGTACATGCCAGCAGAAATAAAGAAAGAAAATATTGACTCCTAGAATATAAAATAATTTCAGGGCTTCCACTAGTGGAAGTTTGGGAGTCATTTACTCCTTCATTTTGGCTTGTGACTTCAAAATCTAATACTTTTCCTTCTTTACCTATAAAATGTGACTTCCAATATCAGAGATTTTGAAGTCTGACTTCCAAATTTTGAAAATGGAAGCCCTGATAATTTTGCTGTGTATACTCTGGAAGTCTGACTTTACAGAGCATGTTTTTTACTGTTTCACATTGATTCAGTATCTTATTTGTAAAAGTTTTTCTAAAAAAAGAAAACAAACAAACAAAAACAATATTGTAAGATTAATTTGTTTATAAAAAATGCAAAATGCTTTTTTGACAGATTTTACCCCTTAAGTTTTTCAGAATTTGCATTTTATCCCTAACTCTAGATTTTGAGGGGTAAAAACCCCTTGGCCAAAAAAATTATCTGGAGCTCTGCTAATTGCAGAAATATTTTTTCTCTCTGATATAATTATATTAAAAAAAAAATTGGTCTGTTCCTGATATAAAAAATATGTTGTGATTTGTAACAAAAATTTTACATATTCATTTTAAAGCTTTCAGGTAATTATTGCTTAAAATTGTACATTTTGATGCTTATTACCTTTTGACACAGTTCAATCTTGATAATTATGATTCTGTTCTTTAACAAGGGAGACGATTGTAGACTTTCAGATCATTACGAGTTTTTTAGGTCAAGGGAGAAGACTTAGGACTACAAAAGTATAAATTATGCAATCAGTTGTTTCCCTTTATCTGCATCCATAGTATGATTGATTGATATGTTAGGCAGATGTATAAAAAAAAAGAAGAAATTACGAGGTTACAAAGTCGTTATTAGTTACAGGTCTTAATGTTCTACAACTGTCAGGCGACTTCATGTTTCACAAAGCCTCCCTATATAGATGATCCCCCCTATTGGAGTGTTTATATAATTTATTCAATGTTTTCGACATCTTTTCAGCACCTTGTTGACATTTTCACTCGTCAAAAAAATAATCCAGGTTAACACCTATACATTTCTCACTTGTGATGCCTCTGTGTCTATTATCACAATTTTCACTACCGAGTGAAAAATGCAAGCGGGAGAAATTTTGTGCAGAACGAGATCATTTATATAATAAAGTTTGATAAACATTTACGTTTGAAGTGGGTTTTAGGGTATTACGTTAATCCGTAGTTTACAAGTAGTTTCTGAAAATAATGATATGCTCTGGTTCCAGGTGTGAATATCTGGCAGATGCTTGCAGCGCTCCCGGGTAACCAGAGTAGCTGGACATGGCGAACAGAGAACAGTGGGATTATCGTCGTGAAGAGGGGCGAAAGGCGTGAGTCATACTACGTGTGATTTTTGATATAGAAAGACAAAACGGCAATCAACATTGTTACGATGACACTTGAGTTTTAAAGACAGTCAAGTTTAACAAATTTTTGACGCATTTTTTGAGACAATTTTCAAATATTTGAAATGTGCTTACTTTCAAGTTTTTAAACAATAATATTTCAAGTCCTCTTGAAACTTTGAACACAAAAAAGATATTGATTATGAAAAATGTATCTGGAACGCTTCAGTTGTCATTTGTAAAAAAAAAATTATAGGGTTGAAACAGGTCTATTAAGTATTTTGTTTATCTAATGAAAAAGCAGATTAACTTAATACTTAAGTTAAAATATACTGAAAAAGACAGGAATTGTGATTTTGTTTTAGTAGTGAAATTCTGCATTAAGAATGTAAGCGAAGTCAAATTTTAACATAATTTATGAAGATGTTTACATTACTTTTTGGGTCCATTGTTTCAAAGCAAATTGTTTGAACCTGACCTTCCTAGAAACTCAGTTATAAAATTTAACATATAAAACTGCTAAAAATATTTTTTCCAAGTCCACTTCCTCATTAACACTAAAACTGCTGAAAGCACAAGTGGTAGGCCTTTGCCATCAGTATAGTCTGAGTCAGGCCAATGAAAGTTTAAAAAGTCCATTTAAGAAATTCAGCATGCTATGGGTGAACTTTGTCATATATCAAGTAGAAATAATACAAATGTAGCTATGACCCAGGTAAGGTTTGGACCAAAGATCCCCAGCTTGAGAGGTAGAGACCTTTTAACTTCATCACCTATATATTTTTGTTATTATAACTAATGCATTTTTGTTTAATAAGAATTTGTTGGACTTGTCCATTTTGACACTAAATATCTTTAATAGACTTAGTGGTAAAGGTGTCCTGCCTCTCAACCCAGAGATCATGGGTTCGAGCCCTACTCGGGTCACGACCATGTTTCTCCATGTGACACCAGTACTGGTTGGTTCCAGGAAGCGGACTCGAAAGTGATTAATATAAGTTGCTAGAACTTGTTTCGCAATCGAGCTTAAATAAATATGTTTAAACCAAACCTAGGTAAAACCATTCATGATTTATAAAGAAAGTTTCCAAAATACATTAATGCACTGACTATTTTAGTATCAGACAGTGCGGACCATGATGAGACGGCCATGGATGTACTGGCTATGTAACCGCAAATTTTGGTCTGCACTTATCACATAGGTAGAACAGTCACTGCCAGCAGGCTACTTGTTAAAACTTTTGCTTTATTTGTATAACACCTGTGTTTACAACTTTACAAATTTTACATAACAATACTTTTTTTTTAGTATTATAGATATGTTAAGTTTTAACTTTTAATAACTAAAATTTGAAAGGAATTACGATTACCCAAATTACAAAATTAATTGTTTTATAACCATAATCACATTTCAAAATAAATTTCTGGCGTTTCTTTTTGTTATTTGATTTGATATATATACATAAATTGATGAAAAAATCTTTTATTTGTGTGTTTCAGGCATGTAATGGCTTCACTTGGTCATGTGTTTTGTATGATGATGACCTTCACTATCATATTCAAAATTTTTTATGTGGGTCAAGCCAACGTGACAAAGTTTGCATTTACAGAGGTAAGAAACATTTCTGATTCATGTTACATATTTAGTAAAATCATTTACTAAATTACTTAAAATATATTAACTTAAAGGAACCTAACTGCCTGCAAATTTATGACAGAAGTGTTTGTTATGAAAAATAGTCATTAAAAAATCAGGGATTTTTTTGGGCTTATTTTTTGGCTAATATTTGGTCATATTCCCAATTGAAAAAGTATATTATTTTACAATCCGCAGGAGAAAATTCCCAATTGAAGGTTACAAAAAAAAATAACAAACTCTAAAATCTTTGAAAATAAGGTTGTGTTTAAATGTTTGAAGATGCCATCCTAGACAGTGATTCTTTGCATTCATTTAATAACTGCAAAATTTAAATCATGCATTTTTCCCAATTTTTAACAAAACATCACTGAAATTCCCAATTCCATCGGTATGTGTCATGTTCCCAAAATCCTAGGAAAAAACCCTGAAAATAAATCAATTTCATTTTTTTCCTTAATTATATTTGAACCATTGTAGAGAAAGATTTCAACAGAAAATGTTTACATAATTTGTACAAGATTTACTGATATGATTGCTAATTTGGTTTTCTTTTTCATTTATCTTTTGATTATTTTTTAAAATATCAAATAAGATGGACCTCTGACCTTACATGAAACAAAACTTGTTAAAAAATGACTAAATTCCTGTGATTTTGGTATTGTATGTAGTCGTTTTAGATTTCTTTACATCACAAAGAGGTATCTACTTCTCTCGTAACTGTCGCGTTACTTTTTATCTCGCGAAAAACATGTTTTAACAAAGTAACATTATTGAGTCTATAGAGTTACACTGTTGAATGGAGATAATGCAATTATCCAATGAACAACTGTTACATCAATATCAGGTTTGTAAAGCTACCTTTTTAATGTTTGCTTGTCACCGAAGGTTATTACGCGGAGAACGCTTGACCACCGTGATGTGAAATCCGTAAAAGATATCAAAACGGGTCCATATTGGTTGAATAACTCAGTTACACTGTCAAGCATATCATTCGGTAATGGGGTCTGATTGTAATGAGGTAGTTGAATAATATTGAATTAGGAATTGAAGAGTAAAGGGGCGGGCAGTTGTATAATAAAGGTGATTTAGACACCCATTCCTCTGTAATTTTGTCCTGTAAGTGTGTCACCTATTGAAAAAAAGTGTGCCCTATGTTAAATGAAATTGTTATATGATTTTTTCTCCCTGTAGGGAAATCATAAAAGATGTCAAATTTTTTGTTCTTTTTTCATTAGTTCTTTTTATGTTGCAAAATCGGTTAAATTGGGTTTTTTTATTCTTGATAATACATTTTAATTATCGAATTATCTATTTGTAAAACAAAAATTCAAAGTAATTCTGCATCAATTAATCAGTTTTTTGTGTGTTCTTATAATTTTATACTATCAAATAAAAAAAGATAATGATTAAAAATATATTTCATTAACTATTACATGTTTAGTCATCTGTTGATTAGTAAGTGTAGCAAAAATTTCAAATTTTTGTGAAAAAAAAAATAATTTAAATCAATATTTCAGATATTTAAGATTTTATAAAAACCTTGATACCTGTCTGTTAACACTTGTAAAAAAACTTGTCGGGAAGTTGCAGTAATGACACATAAATTTATGTAAGATTAGATATATGACATTATCAGCGTGTTCATGGGTATTACGATGATTCGGGATTTTGAATTTCTTACGAATAATCCTAAATGCACAAGAATACTTGTCTATTTCACATTGCCGGACAATTCATTCACTCATAATGCGTTTAAACAGATGATAAGACGACAGTAAAATCAAAATAAATTATCTTCGCGACTTTCGTTTGGGATCTTTTTATTATCTTACTATTGACAATTGTTTTCACTGACTTTGGTAACGCATTATGTAGAAAGAATTTATCGAATACTTCAAACAATTTTCCTTTGTTATAGTGATTTTGTATTTTGTCGTCAAGTTTGGATATAGACGTTGAAAATCTTCAATCAATTTACGTGTGTTAGGTGGATTAAACACTGTGATGTGGGGATCAGAGAAATTCCATAACAAATGCCCTACGTTATATCCCTTGAGTCGCGTGTTTACTGCGACTTTATTTTCGTAGCCCTTCTTGTTTATACGCTAGAATTATTTAGTAAGCTTATTTAGGTAGATATAAATATTTGTTTGTTTTCAGTTCATAGGTTCATTAATTAATTTTCTGTTGTTTTATCCAAAACTTATATAATAGACTTGTCAAGCTTCTATATAATATCAATTTTGGGAAATCAAGAGGTAAATTTGAATTTAGTCAGTCAAAAGTATAAAACCTGGATCTGAGGTTTTAAAGAAATTACCTCAATGTCAAACTCAGATCTCGAGGTAATAAAACTTTTATCTGAGCTCTGTCTCAAATGTCAGGGTTTTCATTGGTTAATATACATTCTCTGTTATTTTCTGACCAATCAAATACCTGAGATCTGAGTTTGTGCTCATTAAATTTTTTATTGGACCCTGGACTTAAGGTTATAAATTTTTTCTGTCTCAACTCTCAGGATTTTCATTGGTTATTGAAAAATCTGTGGCAGTTCTTAGTATAATCTATTGCAAATTTTCCAAAAAAAAAGAAAAGTTATTTATATTAATAAAAATCTGTAGAATTAAAACAGTTGTTGTTGCATCTGCTATAATAGATAGAGATATTTTCTGCAGAAACTTATGTATTTACTTTATTTTTTGTTTTGAATTATTCATACAGTGATATTTAATTATTTTCTTACAAAGAAATAATTGTTTTATTACACTTTAATAAAAAAAATACCAAAAACATACAGATCGTTACTATATGCCCTTTAGGTGAATTCCCAAGAGCTGTGTACAGAAAGTACCGGAAAACTGTGTTTAGCTAGGTTTTCGAATTCGTGAATAGATATAGAACTTACTCTGATACAGTATCTAAGATCATAAGTGTAAGCCTGTATTTAACAAAATGCCTTTTATATGTGTTATTTTTGTATGATAATTCAGTTTATGTAAATGCAACCTATATGATTCTTAAAATTTTATGCTTATTATGGTTTAGGCTTAATCTTTAACATACTTGTATATGTATATAATAATTCCTAAACTTTAGGTTTCATACTATTCAATAATTTGTGTAATGGCTTTGCCACCTTCTAGGATTCTGGTGAAATAGGCCTGTATTCCAGACATGTATTCTGTTGAAATAAGCTTGTATTCAGGTAGAATAGAACTATTTCTGGTGGAATAGGTTGTATTATGATAAGTAGGTCTATTTTCTGGTAAAATAGGCCTGTTTTCTGGTAGCGTAGGTTGTTTTATGGTGAAATAGGCTTGTAGTCTGGTGATAAAGGCTTATATTCTGGTCAAATAAGCCTGTTTTCTGGTGAAATAGGCCTGTTTTCTGGTGGAATAGGCCTGTTTTCTGGTGGAATATGCCTGTATTCTGGTAGATAAGGCATATTTTCTGGTAGAATAGGTTGTAATCTGGTAGAATATGCCTGTATTCTGGTGAAATAGGCTTGTTTTGTGGTAAAAAAGCCTATTTTCTGGTAGCATAGGTTTTAGGGCGAAATAGGTCTGTATTCAGGTGAAATAGGCATGTATTCTGTTGAAAAAGGTCTGTATTCAAGTGGAATAATCCTATTTCTGGTTGAATGGTTGT